CCGCTCCTCCTTGGCCTCCTCTGACACCTCGGGGTAGACGACCAGGAACGCGGCCGTCAGGAAGCCCAGGAAGGCGCCCACGGAGGCCACCATGGGGATGACGCGCACGGTCCCCACGGCGTCCACCACGGTGCCCAAGGCGGAGGCCACCAGGATCTGGGAGATGTACACTTGGCAGGACAGGATGGCACAGTCGATGCCAAAGCCACGCTTGGAGCTCCCCGGGCTGTGGTGAACGTACTGGCGGGGGAGAGAGGGGTGAGCACGTGTCGGGGCGACCCCCACCGGGTCCCACGTCGCCCCTGAGCGGCCCTCCAAGTCCGGCCGCACCCACAGCCCGACCCACCTCCTTGATGTCGTGGTACTGCCCCAGCAGGGCGTAGGGGCAGTAGGAGATGCTCATGGACACGACCCCCATGGTGCTGATCATCACCATGGCGACGTAGACATTGGCGAACATGGCCATCACCGCCGTGCCGACGGAGAAGCCCAGCGTGCCCAGCACGTAGATCACCCGGATGCTCAGGTCATAGTTGTCCAGATACTTCTGCAGCAGGGCTGCGGGATAGCCAGCCCCGCCCCGTGAGGAGCCCTGGGGCCGCAGGCAGCAGCTTCCCGTGCCGCCCCTGGCTGGCCGCCAGCAGGCGGCCCGCTCTGCCGCCCTGCTGCCTGCAGCTGCCCTGGCCACGCGGCCAACGCCGCCCGGCCAGCTCCCCGAGGCCCGCCTGCCTGGCCCGCCCCACCACCCAAGGCCGTGGGCGGCCCCCAGCCTCTCGCGGGGAGAGGACGTCAGCGGTCCGGTCACAGGCACCGGGCCTGGTAGTGCTGACAGTGCCCGCTGCCTGGGCCTGGCCTGCTCCAGCTGGCAGGAGAGCAGGCAGGGCGGGGCCCCAGTACCCCGAGGCAGACTGGGCGCCTGGATCCTGGCCCGCACTCCCACAGGGGGAGCGGCCTCCGGGAGGGGCCTTGCTCCTGCCGGGCGGCCCCTCCAGACACCCTCTTCTCTGCCACTGCACCTCCCAGTCCTAGCCAGGGCAGCAGGACTCCTGGGCTGGGGCTCCGGGTGCCAGGCCGAGACCCTCCAGCCCGGAGCCCGGCTCGGTCGGTGGGGGGGAGTGTCCAGTGGCTGGGCAGCTGCCGGGGGACGGCTTACCTGAGCAGATGGCACCAGTGGTGGCGTAAATGACCAGACCCCAGCAGCCCATCTTCACCCCGGCGTTGTAGGCCTGCCAGGCGGTGGAGTTGGAGGGAGCCTGTCCCAGAAAGGTGGGGTCAGGGCAGGAGCGCGTGCCTGACCCTGCGGGCAGGGCAGGGCCTGACTGTTCTCAGCAGGGCGAGGAGGTCACTGCGAGGACACAGCGCCTGCCCCGGGCCTCAGGCATGTGACGCTGCCGGGCCCCGCTCCCTGGCCCTGACCCTCCCGACCGGACAGACCAAGCCCCAGCCCTGCCTCTGCCTCTGACCCGGGAGCCCAGAGGTCCGGGGAGCCGCACAGACCAGTCTGACCCCGGCGCCGCGGCCAGCGTGAGCCGCCGAGGCCGTGGGTGCAGAGTGGCGGCCGGCTGGG